ATTCACATCCAGGGCTGCTGAATCAGAACCCACCCTGGAGCTGTCCCAACATGTACGGGGACAGTGTGGTTCCTCCTTCACACACAGCCCTCAGCATCAAGGCCATGGTGCTGTTGGTCAGGCTGACTCTGGTTTTCCTAGCTTGAACTGGCTCATCTCCCAGGCAAATTAGCCACCTTCAAAAGAGGCAAGGCCCACCAAAGGCCCCACCTGGGTTGTGGGGGTGAGAGGAGGGAGAGAGAAGACCTCCTGAGTGATGCTGACTGGCTAACACAAAAATCAACAAGACAGTAGCTCTGGGCATTAGATGGGTGTCAACTCTCTGAGCTGCCACCAGCACTGCTAGTCAGGCAACCACGTTGAGGAGAATACGATAGTGGGTGGTAGAAATAACTAGAGTTTGGGAAAGGCAGAGCCACCTCTTACAAAGGGTGGATCTGAAATATATGTTAATGCTAACTTGGTTAAATCTGATAAACATCATTACTCTCACCTGAGCCTGGAACAGGGCATGATCCTGCCTTTGGTGGCCATTTTTTGAGAGGAGAGAGGTGTCTTGAGTTAAAGGCGAAGGGAGATTCACCAGAACCATAGACAGACGGGCTTCCACACCCGGGTGACTCATCTGAATAGTTAGAGCTCCCTGATAATTAGAGTGTCTGATCCATCATCCTTTAAGCCTGGTGCTGACTTTTTCTCACGGTGAAAATAGACCGCTCTTGACTTCTCTCTCTTCCCTTCCTTCCCTCCCTCCCTCCTTCCCTCACGTGCTCACACATTATTCCACTAGAGATTTTCTAGTCTGTTCCACCTTGTATTAATTCACTTGACCTCTTCAGAAACTAGTTGTACAAGGTTATAAAAGCAAAGAAACAATTTTCCAAACCAAAAGTAATATCATGGTAGTCAGTGAAATGCTCTTAGAACATAGTGCCTTTTTCACATAGGAGGGGCCAGGCCAGGAGCCCGCATTCCTGGAGGATTTGCATCAAGAAAGACATGTAAAGGCCATCTCTTTTTGGTTGGAAAATACCTCTTGGGTAAATTTTCCAAGCAAAAAAAAATTCTATTAGCAAATAAAGCACTACTAAATATCTATGAGGAAGATTCTATGCCATAGGGCATCTGGCCTCAGCACTTGTGTTATCTGCATTGGATAAGAAGACACAGGAAGCAAGCACAGTCAGAAAGCTGTATGTTAACGGGGGCAAAAGATCAAAATGGGAACTGAATTACCTACATGTCACCGCCTTCTTTTAAAAGGGGAACTGCACCTTTCTTGCCCTGAGAGGGAGAGCCTGTTGCTATGAAATCTGCAGACGGGCACTCTCCTAAGTGAGGCCAGCAGCTTTCTGCCTGAGGAACTGGGTAAAGGGACCAAAGGGAATAGCTCCGGACAGAAATGGAGAGCAGGAAAGACTGGTGTTTCTTAATCAGATAAAAGCGAGGCCCTGGCAATCTGCAGGGAAGGGGTGCTGGCAGGCGCGGGAGCAGGGAAGTGCGCGTGGAGGCAGCCGTCCTGGGGCTTCAGCAGCGGGAGCCCAGAGCGGGGAGCGGGGAGCAGGGAACCGGAGCCGGAGCCGAGCAGCCGGGACCTGGAGTGCGGGAGAGGTCAGCACCCGCCCCGCCCATCCGCCTCCCGTGTGCTTCATCACGTGCCAGGCAGGCGGCGGCTGCCGATAAAGTGACATGGAAACCCTGTGTTTCCGTGCAGGTGGCCGGTCATGGGTTCGGACTTTTATTCTGGAATTACAGTGAGGCTGCGGGGAGGAAGGGAGGGCCTGCATAGTCCCGGACCTGGGGGTGCGGGTGCTGTCCCGACAGCCCTCAGCCATCCTGCCCGACTTGGGGGCCACAGGCCTGGAGTAACATGGGCCCCGGGCTGCCAAAGCCCTTAGCCAGCCTTAGCCAAGCGGAGGGCACAGCCTCCGAGGCACCCGGTACAGTTCCTGTGCCTTCCGAAGTCAGCTGGCACCGTGGCCGAGTTTGAGAATATCAGAGCAAGGGAGCCGGGAGGGGGACTTGGCGCTCGCTTTCCGGTGGCTGGAAACAGCGTGTCAGCAGCCCTGGACTCGCCTCCGGCCAGACGTGCCGTCGCCCCACCCTGTGCACTTGAGCTGGGCTCCGTCAGCGGCAGCTGCACAGGGCAGCTGCCAGCCTGTGTCCCCGCCCAGGCCGATGGCACGCTCTGCCCTCTGCTCCAGAGGCTGCGAAGGCCCCTCGCCCTGCCGCGCCCCACGGGGAAGCACTTGGCCGCCAGACCCCAGGTCTGCCCTGTCCGAGCGCCCGCATTCTGACCGGCACAGAGCGTGTGCGAGGCACAGCTGGGACCGGTGAGGGGAGCAGCGCTGTAGCCTCCAGGAGGGACGCCTGTGCTTCGAGCCCGGGGCTGCGGTCCCCCGGGGGCGGCACGCGAGCCCGGCGGTGGCCCAAGACTGCTCCCCACGGTGCCAGGCTCCCCGCCGTAGTTAGCCCGGGCAGTCCATACACGCTAGTGTCCGCACGGCAATATCTGCTTACACGCTTCCCCCAACCCAGCAGACGCGGGAAGGGAACTCCAGGGATGTATTCTTCTCCCCTTCACACGCTGCACCGCCTTCTGCTCCTTGCCCCAGTGCCGACCCCCCTGAGTGCCTCCCTTGCCTCCTGCAGCCCCAGGCACCGACCTGCACCTGTAACTCCTTTGTTTCCTCCTGAATCTCAGCACTGATGGACCGGATACGGCTTACGTGACTAGAAGACTAGAGATTGTAGTGCACAGAACATACACACCATGGTAATCGGCTCTTGATTCCTGTCAGCGGTAGGCTGCTGCTAAGTCTGGGGGAGTCACAAGTTCTCTGCAGGTTTTTAAGCGTGCGGGAGTCAGTGCCTCTAAAGCCAGCCGCACAATGTTCCGGGGCCCCCATGTCTGCGCTTGGGGTTCTGTAAGGGGCCTCTCTACAGTGAGGCCTGCCAGTGTGTTGCTAAGGAATGTGGGGATGCACGGATACTAGTCTTTAGGTGCAGTCCTGCGTCTGTGCCGGGTACTCAGGTGGACAAGGCCCTCGGTTTCTCCTTTCACCAACCCACTTCTTCTCAGGGCCGTGGTGTGACCACCTATAAAGTAAAGTTGAACCAAAGGGCCTCTTACGCCATCTTTAGCACTACGATTCAGTGAAGCAACTTGCAAAATGCTGCTGGGAGTTCATGAACTATTAAAGAGGGTTTTTGTCAAGAGCCAGGGGTATGGGTGTCAGGAGGGAGAGAGGAGGAGACCTGTGTGAACAGGCTAGCAAATCTTTGGGATCAGGGTGCATGGGGCACATGAGTAAAATGGGGGACTTGGAAAGGCTTGAGGAATTGAGAAGGTGTGCACACAGCTGATGATCTCTGTCACCCTTAGGAGCTCAAGCTTTCTTTCCAGGCCACCCTCACGTCAGTAACATCGCTGGTGACTTGCCCCTCAACCCTTGCTGGTCGTACGAACAGTAAGAAGAAAGACTTTTTCTCTATTCTTTGAGTATATCCAGGCAGGGCTGACCTTAGCTAAAACCATTTTGGTCAAGTGTTGGCCAACATAGAAACCCACAGAATGATAAACACTGTTCAATGGAACACTCATGTGTGAAGCAGCTTAGTCGTGAGGCTTATGGATGTGTGTGTATGTGTTTGTAGGTTCAAAGATAAATGCCAAGTATTTTTTCCTGAAACAACAGCAGAGAAATTTGGAAAGCTGTTTAAGTAGGCTTAACAAAAAACAAAAACCATGACTGCATAAAGGTAGTAAGAGAGCAAAGTTTGAGAGTCCTGAAACCCAGAAAAGAATAGAGGAAAACCTATAGAAATGGCTAAAATCCCATATATAACCTCTGGGAACGTTCTGGTAGAATTCTTAGCTAACTGAAAATGCAGGGGGAAGTTGCCTAAGCAAAATGTCATGAGCCAGCTTGAGAGGAGGGCAAGTTAGCCTAATTGTTCTTTATTAGGAGTCTCCACTGGGCCAACACTGCCTTGTCTGGTACCAGCTGCCAGCCCCACCTTCCTCTCCTCCTCTGAGGCCTCTGGCTTCCTCTGCCTGGCGGCCCAGGCGCCCAGGACACAGCCGTGCCACTCTGGGACAAGCCCTGCTTCCTCCGTGTCTCAGCGGGGGGGCCCAGCACTCACTTCACCTGGGGTCTCCAATGACTGAAACAGTGATTCCGCAGCTGGCTCTTCTTAGGGATTTCATCAGAAATGGGTGCGGCTCGCTCTCCTGGCAAGGGCCTGTCTTTGTTACACTGTATCATCCAAGAACAACTATTAACTGAGTCTGGGAAGGGTGAGTGGTCATTCCAGCCCAGCTGAAGATTATATAATGCGGCCTGTTTTGGTAATCTCATTCAGAGCTCAAGAGCAGAACCCCTACAGCTGGAGGCACTGTGGGCAGCCTTCGTGTGGCTGCGTGGTAGAGGAGCAATCTGTATCTCGGAAGTCAAATCCCATAGAAAGGAGAAGGACCTAACCTGACTTGGAAGCCAAGCACCACACGAGGCGTCCATACCTGAATTCCAGGGCCGACTCTAGACTAGCTCTGTGACCTTAGGCTGATGACACTGATCGATAATGCTTTTGCATAATGCTTTCCAGCTTATGGGACGCCTTCTCACACCTATTTGATCCTTACAGTAGTTCCGTAGGGGCAGCCCATGATCTCTTTCTCAAGAGAAACAGAGACCCCAGTTGGTTAACTGACACCTTCACTGGCGCACTGTCCTCAAACACACTGGGGGCTTGTGACTTAAAGTCCTTAGCACCTGATTCAGGTCATCACTCTTCCTGCTGACAAACTCGTGTCACAAGGCTGTGGTAGAAAGGCACCTGTGAAATGTAGAGATACCGTATGTGGTTTGAGTTCACTGAACTTTGGAACAGAGGGAAGTGGATCTTTGGACTTGGGACTGGCCAACAAATTCCAAGTGTGGGATCCCTTGTTTTTAGTGAACTTTATTTTTTATAGCAGTTTTAGGTTTACATAAAAACAGCAGAAAGCACAGGGTTCCCGTATATTGCTCCCTTCCTACCTCCCCTCCCCACACTCACACACACAGTTTCCCCCTTATTAACATTTTTTATTACTGCGGTGTATTTGTTCTAACTGATGAACCAATATATGACACATGATTAAATACAGACCAGTTTACGTTAGGGCTCACCCTTGGTGGTGTACCTTCTACAGGCTTTAACAATTATACAGTGACCTGTATCCAGCACTACAGCAGCAAACAGAAGACTTTCACTGCCCTAAAAATCCTCTGCGCTCCACCAAGACGTCCTTCCCTCCGCCCCCCAGCCCCTGATCTTCTTACTGTGTCCATAGCTGGCATCCATTTTTTTAGTTTAGTTGTTTTTAATGTGTAATGTTTGCTATAAATAGCAATTTTAGAATCACTGAGCAGAGTTAGAGATCATTATCACCGTTTCTCACCCAAAGCAACAGATTCTGAGTTTTGCTTTTTTGCTGTGGTCTCAGAAAAGTGAGCCCTAAAAATGGATTATTTTAGTCCCCTTCAGTAAAAAAAAAAAATAGTCACCCCTCCTCCCCACCAAAGGGGCAAGTAATCTGAAGTTCATGAAGTGTCCTGTATTCTTGCTTTTGGAAAGTTAAGGATTATCCGCAGTCCTCCCCTGCACCCCTGCCTCCTCTAGTCACTCCTGTCCCCTGCGGTCCCAGGCTTTCTGGGAAAACCTGGTTTGTCATCCTGCTCAGTAAGATGAGTAGACACACACCTGCCATGTGAGTTGAAGGGACAGTCTTTACCTTTTTGAATCTCCTCAGAGGGGACTGGGAAAGACAAGCCACAGGTCTCCTTCCCCAAGACCCATCTTCTCTCCCCCACCATCTCTCTTGCCCTCGTGCCCCCCACTGTGCCCCCCCACCGAGAGGTCCAAAATCTCTAGTCCGGCTATTTCAACAGTAAATGCTCCACTGTTTACATGGTAAACAAACTGCTACCTGAGCAGACTTTCTCCGAGGAAGGTAATTGATTACCTCAGTCGTCTTTCTTAGAACAGCCTCTTCAGTTGAACCTGGGAAGAAGAAGAAAAAAAAAAAACACCTCTTCTCAGAATGATTAGCATTTGCATCATACAATCCAACTTCCTCTCCTCCTCCTCCTCTCTGTCTCTGTCTCTCACACACACACACACACACACACACACACACACACACACCCTCCTTCTTTCCAGTCAAGGACATTTCAAGAGGTCAGTACCACCCCCGTGTCTAAAACTTCAATGTTTGCCTTTGCAGGGACTTTTCCAACTTTACCTAGAAAAGAACTAACCAGAACTTTAGCACTTGTGGTCAGCCTGCTTCCGGCTGTGGCTTCAGTCAGTTTGTCTGCTCTGACAGAGGAAGCGCTTGCAGTGCCGGGAACTGCACTGGCTGGATTGTAGGAGGACCAGGGCAGACGGTGCCTAACGACATTGGTATGCGAGATGCCAGCAGCAAGGAGAGCCAGGCAGGCACGGGGACGTCTCAGGCCCAGAGCGACAGATGCTGCTGACAGACGCTCCCTGAACCCACAGCCTCCCCCAACTCCACCCTCCGCGCGCGCGCGCACACACACACACACACACACACACACGTGTGCACACACACTAAATTCACGTACAGACAAAATGCCAGTTGAAGATGATTTTCTCAAAAAATGCAGAAGCCAAGACACTGAGCCTTGTTTTGGATCTTCAGTGCACATAAAGGCAGGATGCTGCAAACGCTTCGAGGTCTCCAGACTGACCAGCTGGAGCACCGTGTACTGCAGGCTCCCCTGGAATCCTAGAGCACTCAAGCAGGCGCACCATCTCCTATGAAAGTCCGAGCTAAATACAAAGTGATTGGATTCAAGTGTTCTCTGTGCCCCTGTACTGGTAATTGGGATCGTCTAAGCATTTTCCCTTCAAGACTTAGATTCTCTACGGAGGGAGATGCAGTCGGTGAGCAACCTTACACTGCACCAGAGCTTATCCTACTGTGCAGGGTGCAAAATCAAATGGAAGCTGAGAGAACGGTGTGGCTAGAATTGCTAATTAATTTTAACCACTAGGTACTCCTTGGTAATTTGAGATTTGACTTAACAGCTCAGGATGATTATTTAATTAAAATACTGGCAACACCGAGGATCTCAGATTTGGGGATTTACCTGCCTCAGTGCAGAAAAGCTAAAAATACATGCCATCCGGACTACTTGAATTTCTGCAGTTGAGCTGCTTTCCTATGGTTTAGGATTTTAGTGGGATTCCCCCATCTTAGATTGCATTGTTATGTATCAGAGTTGGAGGAAAGCACTGAGGGAGAAGCTGTGTGGTGGTAGCCAGAAAATATCCAGACCAGAAATCCTTTTCCAGCTCTGCACTCAAGGACTCCACTGAGCTGGAGAATGAAGGTTTATCCCTAGGATCAGGGTATGTGGCCTAAAGTGGCCTCAGGCAAATAGGACATTTCTTTCAAATCTTGGATTTAACTTTTAAAATTTGATTAAATGTCATGTTCTTTGTAGGGCATATTTTGAGTTTAACATAAAAATATTTTCAATAATTTACCATTCAGTGAAACAGGCATTCTAAAAAAAGATGCATTATTTTCTGTCTGTGGCGTTATATACCCTTGGGCCAGACCTTCATGCCCCAGGATGATGGGTGTCTCACTCATGGAAGCCCAAGTAAAGCAAAGGCAAAGGGGATCTGAGTGCGTCATCATAGCCACTGAGACGATGAGCACAGCTGCCCGTAGCAGTCCTCCTAATACTGGTGGACCACACTCATTCATCCGGCAGGTCACAGCTTGGGAGGGGAGGCTCTCAGAAGTGAAGAACCATGCCCTAGGACCAGCCTTGTGACCACAGTCTGTGCACTAAAGCACGTTGGGGGCAGGGACCTGGTCTTGCTCATCTTGAGACCCTCAATACTTAACCCTCTGCTGGGCACAGAAATTATAAATGTTCAACAAACAGTTGTTTAGTGAGGTCTGCATTTTGCATTTGTTCAAAGACCTTTCGGAGAGGAAAGGGACTCTCCTTCCATGGGAGTCCAGAAATCAAATATGCCATGAAAGAAGGTGGGAATCTGCCACAGAAAACCTCTTTTAATCTGTAGTCATTTGGTCACTTGCTGTTGGAATACAGAAAAGAAACTGCTGCTTAAGCTTTAAGCTGTGTGCAGACTCTTGTGTCAATTTTCTGTGTTCTTTTGAAGACTTCATTAATGTGGACTCTATTTGGAAATCTGTGGTTTTTTATGGGGGGGTTTGCTAAGCAAAGGAACATTGCAAGATTTGAAAGGTAGGTTTCAGATGGCATTCTCTAACCAGATTAGGCAGTTGAACATACTAAATTGCATGTCAGTAGTGAGTCCTCGCCACCCTAGCTGCTGGAGTGCCATGCACATGCCTCTCTCCCTGCATCACCAGGCAGGCCCACAGGGACTCCAGGTCACCCCCCTCCTCCTTCCCTCGGCCAGCCCCCTCACCCTAGCCCTCTTCATTCCACACTTCGGGTTACTCCTGTTTCATGCACCAGGCTGTCCCACACTTTGATCGGTTCTACAGTATCTATAGTCTGAGCTGCCCTTGCCTGTAGGCCCTCATCCCCCACTCCAGCCAAACTGGTTTCCTCCCTGTGCCGGCCCCACTTTGTGGAGAATGCCCTCATGCTTGCCTTTAGTTAGGCCAAGCAATGGCCCTCCTTCAGGTCCATGCCTTTCCCCAGGAGGATTCCAGCCCGTGATCATCACTGCTGGTCGGCTCTGACGCTGGCCCTACTCTGCCACTCATTTGATAGCACGTAGCCTGCTTTATACCATTCTTCTTTTTTAACGTAATATGTCCACTCATTAACTAAATAACAAGAGCTGTGACGGCAAGAACCCCATCTCATACTTGGGTTTCAAAGCCATTTCTACTTGACAGAGGTCCAGGAGGCAGCAACCATATGTGTGTGTGGCTCACTGCTGTTCCCTCAGCACCAAGCACATAAGGGAAGTGCTCCTGAAGTAGATGTTGAATATATATTTGTATTTTTTAAATATTTCCTTCCAGGGACCTAAAATAATGCTTATACTTTTGATTTAAATTCAAAGAACTAGCAAATATTTCACCCCAAAATAGCAGTTTATAATTCATCAACACTCAGGGTCCCCTGTGAAATACAAGAATTCGTTGTGTCCCTCCCTCCCCAGGACAAGTTACCTTCCCTTTCAGGGCTCAGTTTTCTGCATTACAGATCCAGCTGTGACAGTGATCTCCAAACTCCTACTTGGCATGACATCCTGTCACATCCCAATTGATGGTGTGTCCGTATGCTCCTCTGAGTCTGACAGTGTAAATAGGACACTGGATCTTTCCTCTTCAACTTGTCCTGGTGTGGGGTCAGGGAGTCGGTCTGTAAAAATTGATGACAGTCCCTGTGGATATGTGAGGCCTCTGATTGCCAGCCCGGTCTTGTACTGTGTGATCCTACTGCATTCGTGCTTTGCAAAAAGGCTCACGTTTTCATCAGTCCAGCCCACACCATCTCTTCTTCCTCCATAGGTCGGCCCAGTGAGAGTAAGTAACCACCTGTCCCCTGTGTGCGCCCTCTTCTGAACAGTTACGTTCATTCCTCCCTTAGCATTAGACACTGAACGTGGGACGTTTCTTTGGTGGGAAGGTACGACTGTGTCTGAAGGATGGACACAGGAGCAGTGAATATAGTCAGTGATAGGTTATTTAGCTTTCAGTGGCAATGCCAAACTGAAATGTCTTCAAATGCTTATTCTCCTCCTCCTCTTTGCTGTAGACACACAGCAGAAAACCTATTCCCAGACATGGAAACAGCTTAGATTTTTAGACTGGTCATCTTTGAAATGGGATGTTGTATTGAATGGTCTTTTTTTGCCTGTTGCACTGTGGTGGGAAATTGATGAAAATGAATATAGGCTAACATAAAGGTACATGTGAATGAAGTGCTGATCACAGAGTATTTGGTACAGGAAGGTAGAGATGATCATTTTCTCCTCCAGCAGTCATTCTAAGCAACTGAAATTCACCATTTATGCATTCGCTCTGAGGGCTCCACAAATATTTATCAACTGTCTACCATGTTCTGGTCACTATACTAAGGTAGTCTCTGCACTCATGATGCTAGAGGCTAGTGGGTTCCTAATTACCAGATTCCCCAGATGTTTTAAGCACTCAAGTAAATGTGATGCCACATTGACAGTGGTATGCCGTCTTTGTAATATTTTTCAACTTGTTCTCATTTGGCTTCAATATTGCTAGACTGTCTTGGTTGCTTTTTAACATTTAGACGTGTCTTGTGGGATTCTGTATCTGATTTTAAGCATGTTGATGCCTTCTACTGTATGACACACAGGTTGGCAAACTCCAGAATATGGGTGAAACCCAGCCTGCCACCACCAGCATTTGTAAATAAAGTTTTATTTGAACACAGCTACACTCATTCATGTTTGTACAGCCTGTGGCTGCTTTCAGGCTGCAATAGCAGAGTCATTGTGACAAACCATTTGGTCCACAAAGCCAAAGATCTTTACTATCAGAAAATATGTACCATAGAGAAAAATTTGAAGACTGATGGTGTACACGAAGTAGAAATAATAGTGTGTGTGCCCTGTGTGCGTGTACTGGCAGAGGGTGAGGGGATGGGCAAGATTTGTGTTAGAATGTTTATCTCGATGGGATCAAAATGGTCCTGGTCAGAAATGACACTAGACAGATGTGGACTTGAGTTCATTTTCTCCCCTTACCTTGTGCTGATTAAGCTTTTACTATTCATCCCTGCCTCTCTGTACAGAACTTCTCTATGATGCCTGCTTTTTAGGAGAAAAGCACAGGTGGGCAACAAATAAGAGAGGTGGGAGGAGGAAGTCTTGGCTCATTGGTTAACCAGTGGTGAGAAAAACTTTTCAGGTATAAGCTATAGATATCAAAAGAAAGGATGGAGACAGGAGAGGAGGCTGAATGGGCCTTTCTTATACCAACTGATGGCACCTATCAATGATGTCAAACTGGAAGGAAAAAGAAACAAAAAAAT